CCATGCTGTTCCGTGCGGCTTCCGCTCTCAGAACATCCCAACCGCGGTAATGTTAATAATCAAGCAAACCTGGGAAAGCGACGCAGGATAGCTCGACCATCGGCATAGTGAAAACTATTAGAATCCGGGGAAAAAGATCAATCCGGGGTCAGCGTTGATGGCGGGTAATCGGGGCGAAAATCAGGTCAATCTACCAGTGGCCATGGACTCCTGTCCCTCTCATTGTTTTTAATCATTCTTTCTTTTTCTTAATTCTATTGTCGGAAATAGTAGATCAGCCGTAAGTCTTCCAAAATTAATTTCCTAGAAAGTAATTATATAAATGGCCGATTTTCTTCTGTTTCTTTTCTTCTTTTCCATTTTTAAATTTTTTTCTATGTTTTTAAATTCTTTGTCAGGATCATAAAATACAAGGGTTTTCCCCCCTAGATTTACATGCCGTGTTAAATAAAGAAATTAAGGGATATTATGTTTTTCCCTTTTCCCCTACTGGTCTTAATCCCTTTCCCCATCTTTAATTATGGTACTAAAATAGTCAGAAATTTGAGGCCTCTTTTCGGACCCGGTCGTATGCTGCAAAAACGTTGCGGCGAGGTCTGTTCCCGCGATGCCTCTCCGCGGCAAGCCAATCCGGGTCTACCCCTCTGAACAGCCGGAAATGACGGTCTCTAGATACGCCGAGTGCGGCCACCCATCTTGTCATCTTAGAGGGTTACTTGCAGGGTTCAGTGTGCCCAAAATCAGAGGTGCCCTGAGTTCCCATAATTTCTGTTGCCTGGTCATTCCAGAATACCGTAAAAACACGGTCTTGTCCCTGAGCCTAAACCCCAAAGCCGCAGATTTCAGGCGGCGCACTGCTTGTGGTCGCTTGACAGTTAGCCCGGACCACTTCTCGAAGCCCCCGTCGAGCCCTATCCACTTACGTCAAACGAAGCGGACAAGCTTCAGGGTGATGGTCCGTAAAGGACGCCCATGTCGGCGTTTAATTGTCTTATATTTCAGTTTGTTATGAGTCCTAGGGCTAAGTAAATGTTTCTTGACTTTTCTTTTCCTTCGGGATCTCGGCCTTGGTAGGGTCCTCTTTTTTTTCTGACGTTGACCCGAGGGGGGTGCCGTCCCGCCAGTTTGTCTAATGCGGACTCTCCGTCTGGCTTTCTTGAGCACGAATAACCATTTCTTCTCTCTTCCTAGAGCTAAGTCTTTGATCTTTCTTTTCTCTATTCTTTTTCTCTTCTTGAAACTTTCGCCTGCCTCGAATCGTCTCAAGGGAGCATCATCCTCCATTTTAGCCTTCCCCTTTCTTTTGGGGCCCATCAGCGACAAGGTGGGTGCAGGCCTGGGTCTAAACAGTTTTAACCTAGCACCCGCCACTGGGTTCTTCCACTTGGATCCGTCAAATTCTGCTATCATATATGCACCTCAGCCGAGTGCCTCAACCACTCTGTAAGGTCCCATCCATCTGTTGGCGAGTTTTCCGGTCCAGGTCCTTTCCAGTGCTGCGTCGTAGAGAAGGACCATATCTCCTACGCTCACCCTCTCTTTCCTGATTCTCACGTTCTTATCCCATCTCTCTTTACCTTTGTCCTTTTCTACTGCCAGACAATTTGTCGCTGTCATAAGGTTATCTTCCAAACCGTAGGCTATCTGTCTCGTTCGGGCAGCTATGAGTTTCTCTCTAGACATCTCCTCCGCCCAATCGACGGTTGTCCAGCAGTCGACGTGAAACTCTATGGGGAGCGGACAATGCCGCCCAAACCACAAGGTGTACAGTGGGTATCCGGTACTAGCCCGGACCGTGACGTTGTCCGCCCATATTGCGTATCGAAAATATCGTGGCCAATCACTGTCCTTACCCTTGCACCACTTGCACAGTGACGCTATCAGAGTCTGGTAGCCCCTCTCTACTGGGGAGTTCGACTGTGGGTGATAGGCGGCGGCTACCGAAACTCTCGCCCCGGCTCTCTTAAACATACTCAGAACCTCGTCAGCTAGCAACTCCGCCCCTCTGTCCATCACTATCTTGCTGACACAACCATACCTAGATAAGTACTCCAGGACGAAGTTCTTCACTTCCTTTGCCATCTTACTCCTGATAGGTCTACCGTCCACGAACCCAGTGAAATCGTCACGTATGTCCACGACGTAGTTCATATTGCCTACTCCTTTCGGCATCTTCACCAGATCGATGTGTACCTTCTCTCCTGGTCTGGTGAGATAGGATGGATGAAAAGGCTCTTTGTATTTCACAAGAGCTCTCTTCTGGCACTCTTCGCAGGTCCAACAATACCTCTCGACGTCCTTATACTGTCCTTCCCACCAGTAAAACCTGCGTATCTTTTCGTAGGTCCCTTTGACTCCTCTATGTCCCCCGACTACTCCGTCGTGAAGCTCCGTAACTATCGTCTGTCTTTCCTCAGGATCACAAACTACTCGTAAGGGCATCCCCGAGCCGACCGGCCTTCGAAATAGATGGCCGACTCTAAGGCAGTACTGCGTCGCTTGTCTCCGGATATCTGATTCGTGACTCTCCTCCCCTGACAAATGTAGCCCGATCGTCCGGTATTTGCCCTAGTAAAGGTTAACCAGAAATCGCTCGGCGCGTCTCGGCTCCGCCAATGTCAGGGCTCCAGCTACTATCGGGCGTTCGGCCTCAAGAGGGATCCGCGAAAGCCCATCTGCCACGACATTTTTAGTGTCCGATATCCTCTCAACTATGTAATCATATAGGCGAATCCGTATAAGCCATCGGGCGATGGTCGGGTCCGTCAGACTAAAGTCCTTCTGGAGGACTGAGGCAACTGCGGTAGGGTCTACTCTCAAGATAAACCGTCGCCCATAGATATAGTGTCTGAACGTGTCTAGACACCGCAGAACGGCTAACACTTCGTTCTTGAATTGACTGTAGTTTCGTTCTGCCGTATTAAGTGTCCTACTCTCAAATCTTAACGGTCTTTCCTTCCCTTCAGCGTCCTTTTGAGACAGCAGCCCTCCAACGGAACAAGGTCCAGCATCCGTGGATACTATGAAGGGTCTCTCGGCCTCATCGTCAAAGAATGACACGCCCAGTACGCGTCTTCCCTCCTTAAATTCGTCCTTAAGCTCTTGCATATCGAGTTCGTGTGAGGAATCCCAGTAGAATTTTTCAATTTTTCGAAGGAGTAACCTTAATGGCTCAGCCTTCTCCGCATACCCCCGTATGAATATACGCCAGTAACCGACCACTCCCAGAAACTGTCCGACCTCGGTTGGACTTTGTAACGGTGACGGTCAGTTCAGGAGTTTGTCTAACTTTGCCGGATCTGCTCGGCGTCCTCTCGAGTCATAGATAAAGCCCAAGATCTTAATAGTCGAGACGGCCCGTCGGCTCTTCGTTCCGCTGACCGTTAAATTCGCATCGCCCAGCTGCTCGAGTACCGCGCAAATATCCGTTAGGTGCTGCTCGACGAATCTTCTAACTCCAGGTACAACCTCTGTCTCATCCTTGTTTACTGGTCCTTTTATAGGAAAGTCATCCAGAAAAACTTCAACCTTATCAGGGATGAAAACCTTGAGGACGGCTACCATGGCTCTCTGAAAAACAGCTACCCCATTAGTCCAACCCATAGGGACAACCATCATCTGTATCAGTCCCAATGGCGTGTGCATAGCCGTGAGGTGCCTGTCCCTAGGATCAAGCGGTACCTCATCATAGTGTGAGAACAGATCACAGACCGAATAAATCGACCTGCCTTCGGCCAGTAAGTCGGCGTGTGGCACAGAGCCCACGTCTCGTATCGTCACCACGTTGACCTTCTGAAGGTACTGGATCCACCGGATTTTGCCATTCGGCTTTCGTAGGAAGAACCATCGATTAGCATAGGCGCTGTCAGACGGCGCCGCAACATGGGAAACCATCTTTTTTTTCAGTAAAGCGATGATTTCTTCCTTCTCCTTCTGGGCGTATTTCCATTCTGCGTCATTCCAAAGAACATGTGGAATCATGTAAATCCTTGCTGGCTTAGCATATCGAGGGTCAACCCTACCTCGCTCTGCGTCGCTGAAAGCTATTGCCTTATCACAAGTCTTCAGGATTTCTATCACACGTTCTCGCTCCTGTGGGGTCAAATTTCCATCCCGGATGTCCATCTCTGCTATCCTCTCTTCCGTTAGGCGTTGCGGCTCCTTTTTCTTTCTTTCTTTGATTTCTTTTGGGATCTCTTCTTCTGATATCCCTTCCAGTGCAGATCGCTCGCGGCCCACCGCCGCTGGCTTAACTTTTTGTGCTACTAGCTTGTGTCGCTTGGGTAGCCCCCCATAGGGGTCGTGCCCTTAAAAAAAACACAGATACCACCCCGCCAAATTCCTCATCTGTCTCCTTTGGGTACGAGTTGCCGTCTACTATCAGCCGACTCCCTATATCTTCCACTTCTACAATTCTGCCTTCTTCCTCTGTGAGCAGGGGTTCGTACTTCTTCTCGCGAAATCGCACCGCGCGACCGGAGATAGGTAATGACTTAATCTGATCACTGGGTCTTGCACCCATAGCGAGAGCTGCTCTGTTCCTCGGGTCCCGAGGCTCCACTGTCTCAATCATAACCCGCGTCCCATCTAGCTTCTTAATGGACAATGTCTGGCTCACATCCGGTCGCTCTATCGTCACCGCATGCACGTGGCTCAACCACGTTCGTCCCAAGAGCAGATCAGAGCTGCAGTTCTTGACTGCAAAGACCGGCAGGGTCACTCGTACGCCTTGGACCTCTATGGCTGCCTTGTGGCAAACCTCGGTGATCTGTTGCTTTCTCCCATCAACCGTCTCTATCTCGAATAGGTATGACCGAGGCCCAGTCCAACCTGCACTGCCAGATCCTCGTCTATAATGACAGCCTCACTGTCGTTATCGATCACAGCATCTAGTACAGCTCCATCGTTTATGATTGTCTCCACAGCCCCATTGCCAAGTATGTAAAACTTGTCTAGAGGCACACCTTCCATCCCATCAAGAAGGACTGTCGCCATGCGATCCGCTCTAACAGTCACCCCCGTTACTGCCACAGTAGGAGCATCCGCCTTAGGGGCCCCCTAAGCCTCCTCCGATAGAGGTATGCGAGTCTTCCGCGTGATCATCTGTAACTCATCGCGAGCCGGCTTCGATGCCGCCAGGTACTCCAGAATAGAACACTGCATGGGCTGCCGAAGGGCCCGCCTCAATGGCTCGACCGTGTCAATCTCGTCCAGCGAACTCTTCATCAAAAACTTCTTCACTCCCCGCTTTCGCGGCGAAAGAATAACCTCCTCTCCATCAATCCATTCTCCATCCTTCTCCGCCATCACGTAATCCGTGTCAGTCTTCTTCGATGTAGACCCTCTCGCCGACTTGGTGGCTGCCACCCTTATGGGTGTGGTCGCCATATCCCGCTCAAAAGTTATCTTGATGCTCTGGCTCCTGACCGGTTCCTTTCCTTTACTCGGCTTTACCCCCTTGCTTCGACATTCTCCTTCATCGAASGGAACATCGATACATCTCCCAGATCATCTGCCCACTTAACAGCCATTTCGTCAAAACGGACATATTATATTTTTTGAACGAAATCAAAACTGACTTTTTTTGCCAAAATCCGGTCGGAATTTTTCGCTCCTGGGGTCCGGCGTTCCCAAAACGCCGGATCCCCCTGGT